AGACGCACGACTTGTGCGTCCCGTCACTTAGTATTTGTCATGAAATATGTCGTTGAAAATATTGCATTAAAATATTAATAAAAACTTCAAGAAGTCAAATTCACCAATTCTAGCACACGACAACTGCATCAAAACAATAACCCAACACAAGATAGAATAAAGACCAGTCTAAAAACAAACATAACAAATGATTAAAAATTATATATATGATAATTATATTGGTTTCTAGAAGAAATAAAGATAACAAAAGGGAAATACGGAAGGTACTAGACCTGCAAGGCCAAAGATTTGTTAAAAAAAGTTAATTCAATTTTGTTGTTGTGACTAATTGTGCTGCATGGGTATATAGTGTGTTTTACAAACTGTTGCACAAGCGCATATGTATATAAAATTTATGAAAACATTTGTATGCCGCAAGGTGGATCACAGTGAGTCTTTTTTGTGATGCCAAGTGACGGGACGAACAGCGACACGCTTGTACAGTTGTAGGGCCACTCAGAACTTTAAATCGCAAAGATCTAAGGCGCACTGCCACGGCGCCCGTCACCCTCAGACATAAGTTGATAAGTCTCATGGGCCTGTAATTTCACCACCCGGTTACCCTTCAAAATCGGAACTCAGTAATGCTCACATTACTGCTTGGCGGCAGAAATAGGTAAGGTGGCAGTAATTCCCTGGACAAACTCATTTAAAAGGGGCTACTGCTATGATTATGGTTCAAAATCCATTTTTGTAACGCCTGTATAACCGGTGCATCACAAACAAAGAAATGTATTCTTTTTACTGGGCAAAAGGAAAATGATTAGTACTGCGAAACAGTTTATTAGCAAATTATAATCTTAGATTATGTCACAATACTTCAAGAAGAATGTAGACAACACAGTGACAAATTAGACTTGTAACTTTGCCAATTGTTTGTTCATTCTACTCGTATAATGCGTTTCACACAACACATTATCAGATTTTTTTTTGTTGAAATTGCACTAATCCGATTCACAGCATTGATTCAAAATTGTTTTTGTGAAAGCTAGTACCACGTCTTGTGTCAATGACCTCAAAATTTACTTCACTATATCGATATGTTGATAATCATAATGTCGACGCGACGTTCCCACCTAATAAACGTCTGTTACCAAAACACTTCAAGTCTGCAACTGATGGACTTATTTCGAAAAAATGTATGACGAAGATGTCGGAAGTAACCTACGTTGGAAGTACCTGTGTTTTTATATTATCGTAAATAAATTTACATAAAATGTTTTGAAGATAATGTGAGGAAACTTATTTTGTGCAAATAAATTTACACAGCAATTCCAAAAAACTTTGCACTAGTATTTGTGTAAAAACGATAAACGAGCAACAAGGGTATTACACTAATACTTTGTAATAGTTTAACTATTTATTTTTGTTACAAGCTATTACAATTTAAAAATATTTACTTTTGCGTGCTTATTGCATGAGACACCAAAAAATTAAATTTATAATAAAATACAAGATAAGCGTGTAAAGTATTTATAAAACCTGAACAGATTTATGCGTAACACAGGTGTATTATTTTATTCCTGTTTAATTTATATTTATGTTTTTCCCTAGAAATAAAACATTTGAGTTACATTAAAATAATTTTTCTTGACGAAAAAAGTTTTGGAACGAATTTTTCTCTCATTCTTTTAGAAGATTTATTTCATTCTCTTGTCAACCTCTGGTAGCTGTGAAGTAAAATTATAATACATTTCTCACAGGCGGTACAACAAATAAGCCGTTAAAATCAAAACGAAATATATGACATAATGTAACAAATGCATAGAGAAATTCGGAAGATTTGCTTACTTGGTCTCACGGAACTCGGTCTGTAGATCATTTGGTAGAGCGGTTGCTCTACATTGGCATAAAGACACATTACAGTCGCGTGTAAAAGTAGACGATTAACGACGAGTATCGCCACACGTAAAAGTCGTCGTGTGTAACAATTGTGCCACGTCGAACTGAGTATTATTGAACTACTGGGAATAAACCGCAGGCTCGAGTCCTCTCAGATAGAAATATTTTTTGTTTGTGTTCGATCTTTGTATTAATAATTATTACAAACTAGTGGAGCAATTTCACAAAAATAAATGAATATTGTTTAAGTAAAACATAACCTCCATTGGCATAAGTTTTATTTAACATATTTTTAAGACAAAAAGTGTATCACTGTAGATCACTGTTTTGAAACATTTGCTGTTGTCGTCTGCTACACTGTTATTTGTAAACTGCTAACAACTTTGCAGGACTATTTTACTAACATCATAAACAACAATTTTTGTCCCACGTCTTTTAATAATTTATTTATATTTTACTGTCCCACAAATCTAAAAATATTTAAATAGATTAACTTTGTGCTGAACGATGAAAAACGCAGGATGGGGTTTTACATAGTCGGTGAGGACGATTGCACATTTAAACTTTGAACCTTTCTACCAAATACAGAGCTAATAATTTCAGTACAGAGTACTAAAAAAATCGACCTCAATAGTATCTGGAATTACATCTATTTGCCAAGTTTTATTGAAATCGGTTACCGGAAAGTGCGCGAAGACGGATGCATCCCCTAGTTTGCCACCCTTAGAGGTGATATATCTTCTTTAAATTTAAATGGGAGCAACAAAAAAGAATCATCAAAATCGGTTCATAAGTTTAAGAGTTATCGCGTAACGTACTTACATAACAAAAAAGAAAAGAAAAACATACGGTCGAATTGAGAACCTCCTCCTTTTTTTGAAGTCGGTTAAAAAGTGTCAGACAGCACGTCAAAAAAATTGTAAGTTTATTTTCTGGTAAACTTATTGTGTTTTGTGAAAAATCATGGAACAAAAGTTGTCGGAGTCCTCCAAGGATGATAGTATTTTACAAATAACCTTGTATATTATCTATCTATATATCTAACATTTAGTGGCTAGACCCCCAATAAGAACAAAAACCAATAGCATGCGGTAAGTTGGACATAGGAATAGTCGATTGAGAAATTTCTTAGTTCTATTCCAACCGTATGGTGTGGTACACTTAGTAATTTGTCCGCACATCTCAAGAATCTTATGGCTATAAGCCAAATTGACTTTTAAACCTGAGATATTGAGTTGCGCATTAATCACGTAGTTTACTTTCGTGACATTATAATGTGTGGGTATTTTATCTTGAGAAAAACATCTCGTATATAAAGCTCGAAAAAATGTTATCTTTTATTTCCATCATAGATTTGACCAGATAGGAACATTCGAGATATTTAAGAATTTCAAGAAAAATACTGTATGTCTTTTATCTTTGTAGTTCAAAGGATTAAAATTATTAAGTCGAAGTCATCATAAATGTAGTATATTACAATTTCAACTTGGCTTTTTAAATAGTACTTATCTATTTCCTTTGTCTCGTTCCGTTATTAATTGAACTAATAAACTTAGAGCAGATTATGTATTTGAATAATTGTTACAAAACGAATCAGTGGAGCTCCTTGTGAAAGAGTTCGTCCAGGGAAGTACTGCCAACGTACCTATTTATGCCGCCAAGCAATAATGTGAGCATTTGCCGTTGCAAATTTGTGAGCCGGTTTGGAACGGTTAAGGGTGAAATTACAGGCACATGGGACTTGTCAAATTATGTCTCAGGGTGACAGGCGCAGTGGCTGTGCCCCTAAGATCCTTGCGATTAAAGCCAGAGCTTTAATCGCAAGGATCTCTTTTATTTCCATCATAGATTTGGCCAGATAGGAACATTCGAGATATTTAAGAATTTCAAGAAAAATACTGTCTGTCTTTTATCTTTGTAGTTCAAAGGATTAAAATTATTAAGTCGAAGTCATCATAAATGTAGTATGTTACAATTTCAACTTGGCTTTTTAAATAGTACTTATCTATTTCCATTTTTATACATAATATTATATTTATATATGTGCAACTCAGAACTTGCACTGCAACTGTCGCTTACCACCAGGTCCACGACTTGTTCGTCCCGTCACTTGGGATTCTAAAAAAAACAATGCTTATATAAAAACGGTATATATTGGTATGGCTTATATTTTTGTAGTATGATGTCGTGTCAAAAATTGATTGATTGGTATTTCTTGTTGGTATTACAATCACTTTGATAACGTAATCAGTATTTATCAATACTCCATTCGAAATGTTGTGTATCTATCTCTACTTCACTACAAGCTTTTAACGATAAGAAGTGAATGGAATGGTAGGCTGTTTTTATTATTAATTCGACTAATACTGTTCAATGTTTATATAAGAAAAAATAAATAGAAAGATTAAACTGTGAGGGCTAACTTTGTGTATGTTATTATTAACAACTTTATTTTGTCAATTTATCAAATAAAAATAGTTTTTTATATTTTATTATACCTAAGGTTGTCCCAGTTTTATCATAAATCGGATTTATTGTGAAAATTTTCAAAAGTTTTAAACCATTTGGTTGCTATTTAACGGCAGTTGTTAATGTGTCGGAATATACTATAAAATTCAATTAAAGAGTCGAGCCGGAATAATTAACTGTCATACTTGGACCTCAAGAGAATATGAGTAAAACAACAAAGGCGAATACGTCTCACGGGACTTCCTTTGACCTACTTTCAACTACTTTTCGGTACTTGAACAAAAAACATATTTTATAAGTCATTTCAAGTTTTAAGTAGTTTAGTGTAATATAATAAGTCAAACGATTCGTTGATTATTTATTATTATTATTATTATTATTAATGTTACGAAAAGATCTTCCATTTGTTACGAATAGAAAATAGTTTACTATATTTATCAATTATTGTTTCATATATTTTTGTATGGCTTTTCTGTGGGCATTAGGGCATTAAAAGCTCTAGCTGACCAACGACTTTGAATGTTTACTTATTATTTTAAATCTAATTTGAAGATCATGTCGAAAAATGCAAAAACATAAACTTTCTAATTGCTTTTTTTTAAATACATCAAATGTCACAATGTTACAAAAAAAAAAACTGACTGACAAACCTTTTAACAAACCCTCATTTAAATCCAAAGAGATCTCGAAACAAGTCCAAACATCTTGGAACGCTAACACAAAAACATTATTGTCACTAGTGAACACAGATTTGGTGTTTGGTTCCGCGGGAACTCGCAAGGCAATGACGTGCCACTCGAGAGACGGCTGGGATCGCACTGAGTCACATGGCTGTTGCTTGCCTGTTGCCGGGCTACCACTGCTTCCCCTCAAAATGGCGCAAATCTTGATTTACACTCGCTACCAAATTCCGGACTTAATTTTTAATTCCAACGTCTAAGGATTTATTAGATTGAAAGTCCTATTTGATTTTGGAAGAACACGTAGTGCTTTCTTTCAGAAATACCTTAGCTTAAATCTATTATTTTGTTTTATTCTACTTGACTCCATGCGCAACAAGTAGCGCCACTACGCGGTTGGAGGTAGTACTAGCTTTTTTGTAGTTTTATGGTTCGGATATCATATATATTTAGCAATATTGTTGAAAGGAATGGAACAGATTCATAGGATGGAGGTGAAATTTTGATGCGGATGATGGCAAAATCCCCGTTTTGTTAGTACAGGCATAAGTCTATAATGTACAGACGATGCCTTAAGATACCTCACCTCTAACCGACCATTTGGTTCTGAGTAGATAAGTGTAAGGAATAGTGTTAAACAAAACTTAACCTTAACCTTAATTTTTATCCTGTAAGCCGTAGTAGTTAATTTCATTGTGACATCCTTATTGCATCATTAGCAAATGACATTTTAAGGAACTGTTGAAGCCAATTTCATCTTTAATGTATACTTACTTAAATACAAAATACAAATATCACCCATAAACTTGGACTGCCTTTACACTTTTCTGTTGAATGCTTAAGAAGGCTTTCAGAACATGTCAAGTATTTTGGGGCAGCGACTGTACTGCTAAGTGAAATCTATTTCTATGGGCACTACCATATAAAAAGAAATTATAACGAAAATTGTGCTAAATAACGGCGTAACTCATTTATTCGAAAAAAGGTCGTATTGAAGTTGTGAGCAACAAAAAAATATAAACGACACTTTGCCCGACCAAGTACTAAGAATGCAACTGCTCTCTATATGACAAGGTTTTCTTTAATTAATTTCTAGACGTATAATATGCAGCAACGATTAAAATTTAATCAAAATATACATAATAGCAATTGACAAATTAAGTTACAACGTTATTCCACCCGTTCTAATGTAGTGTAAGGTTTTTAAGCAAATACAACTTTATGGTGATGAAAACTGAGCCTATATTATCGATTTCTGTACAATAGTTGCGTTATTGACCAACAACGTTCCGTTGTCCGTTGTTACGCAGTATACTATGTTCCATATTCTACATATTATTATTATATACTATTAAGCTATAAGATCTCTTTCATGAAACAGCATTTAAAAATTGAAAATTTCTGTCCAAACGACATCTGAAATTAAAATGTCAGTTTTAAGTTGCCATTGAAGTAAAAAGCACACAAATAAGTAAAAAGAAGAAGAAGAATTCCGGTCAAAAAGTAAATTGAACTACAGCACAGCTTAACAAGCGAAATAAAATTAGTACAGTGCTGTTTAAAACAAACAAAATTGTATTCGATAAATTATGTTTGGTAGGTATGCTTCAGATGGTAATGAGAGGTTTATTCCAAAGAGGTGGTAATACGAACCCCTTTCGCGTGGAATAATTGTCTGAAGATAACTGCAAGGGTTATTCATCAAAAAGTTGTTGGCAACGTAGTTAAAGTAACGTCGAGAAGACGTTTTACTAAAAAATATGGCGAGCAACCATTACGGCGTGTAACACACTGCATATTTGATCTTGATGGAACAATACTTGGTATGTAAGAGATGCATCTACTGTAATGGATTCATGTAAAATGCAGTAATAACAGAGCCAATCTTACAGGAGTATACGTAATTTTTAGAAACACCAGCAACATGTAAATTTAATAAATTAACAATTTATTTCTGTAATTTATATTTTAAGACCGGTGGTTATTCACTAAATAATTATCAATAGTTACAGGGTTCTTACCGCGGTATATCTTTGGAAACTGGGCACGGGTAGACTGGCCAGCGGCAGCTAAAAAAATGCTTCAACTTCTGTTGCGCGTGTGGATACAGTGAGTGTGGTTTATCGGAAATAAGTGATTGACATTGGTAACGCCACAAATAATACAAATGAAGATAGTGGTTAACAGCGAAAGAGGGTAGACTGTCATCTGTCTGGCCTGTGACCCCGTGACTATTGTGCGTGTAAACGTTCCGAAAGATTAGGAAATTAAAAAGAACTCGTACTGTGGTAAGAAACCTGTACTAGACAATCATTTATTTCTCTAATTGTTTAAAGTCTGCTATCGAAAATCACCAGTCATATTCTGAATAATAAACGAGGAAGGAAGACACTTAACTTGACGTTAGTGGAATCATTGATAGTGTCGATGGAGCTATAAATAACACTTAAAAAAGAAGAATGACTAACTCGTATACCGTTACTCGTTATACAACACGGTCATCATATTTCCGGTCGAGGAAAACAGGGAAGATACCTATTCCGTTAAATAAGTATTATGGCATCCTCGTACATATCTCTGTTCGGTGATACGTCCTGAGCATAGCATAATAATACAAGCATGGTAACTCCATATTAACGTAGCAATGCAGCTTCTATGTGTGCACCCGCCGCGTGTCGTGTACGGAGGCACACATACGCATAATTTCGCGATGCACTCGCGTTGCATAGTGCTGGTCGTCTCACGCTCCCTTCATTATGCGAATGTGTGCGTCCAAACACGGCGTGTGGTGGACCAGCGTGCACACATACATGCCGCATTGCTACGTTTCTATGGAGTTAACCATACCTGTTTTTAACCGACTTCAAAAAAAGGAGGAGGTTCTCAATTCGACTTATGTTTTTTTTTGTATGTATGTTACGCGATAACTCCGGTATTTGTGCGCCGATTTTCATGATTCTTTTTTGTTGGAAAGAGGGTACCTACATAGTGGTCCCATTTAATTTTAAAGAAAGTTATCCACCTCTAAGAGTGGCTGTTCACGCATGAAGATTCATTTTTATAAATAGCGCTTATATTTTATTATAAGGAGCAATCATTTTAATGGTTGATTTTGCTATTCTCTAATTCAAGGTGTTTTTCACTCACAATATACTTTGAGTAGAGAGAACCGATTTTTATTATCTCCTGTGTCAAGTTCCGTATAGTGGCGAACTAGGGGATGAATCCGGGTTTGCACGCTTTTCGGTAACCGATTTCAAAAAACTTGGCAAATAGATGTAATTCCACGTACTTTTGAGGTCGGTTTTTTAGTACTCTGTACTGAGATTATATTTATACTATGTCGTTAGTGCAGTTTAGTTATCGTTTGCGTTATGTCCCTAAAAATAAATCCCCGTCCCTCAATTCTGAAGGGAATGGTCACTGTATATACTGGATTGACTCGTCTACTTACGGATGTCCGCATTTGAGCCACACTAGCGATACCATCGGCATGGAGATAATAGTCTTCAATAACTGCAAATGACCACTTTCACATGCTTGCCTTCGAAAGGCCGTTTTACTAAAAAGTATGGACATTTACAATAGTAACAATACACCGCATATTTGAATGGACCTTGAACCTTATGAACACATTAAAAAATACATATCAAAAGGTCCCCCTTATGCAGGGAAAGGTAAAAATTGTCACAAAGAAAAACGTTATGTGGTTTGAAAATACTATAATATAATTTTATGATATTGCAACGTATTATTTCCATAATTAAGAATCTATTAAAATGACTAGCAAAATCACAGGTTAAGTTATTTGTATACTCAAGATGACTTGAGTATACAAATATTTGAACTTGCTCCACTTCCGGAGCTGAACCGTTGCGGCCTGGCTGTGGTGGAGGTTGCTCTGGACGATATGAAGTTTAGTGAGCGAGGGGGAAACCGCCATCAGTAGGCAGCAGCTCCTCGTTCACGTCCTCGCTCAGTTAGATGTCTCCCATCCCCGACACGCACTCGTCATCACTACTTCTTCACTACTTTACTGGCTTCAGCAGGGACGGGGTCAGAGAGGGCCAATTACCTTCTCCGGGGATGCCAGAGGAAGCGGAGGGCTCCGGGGAGACTTCCATTTATGTGGTTGCTGTGCCCGCCTTCTCAGGCGGTATATCCGTGTACAGGCCCCTCTTGGATCTGAACCTGGAGAAGACCGTGCCCAACTGGAAGGTTAGATGCCGGTCATGCCCCAAGACAGCAGGGACGAGTTCTTCCAGAAGGCTCACCACCACGAAGGAGTATTCACTTTGCAGCTGCAGCTTGTGGACCACCCAACGGTGAACCTCCACCCCATTTTCAATGAGAGGGGCTCCGCGGATGGCAGCCTGATCTTCTAGCCACTGGAAAGTGCATGTGTGTATGTGACACCTCAGTTTCAGGGAACCGTCGCTGTGTTCTGTGAACTATTGGCCAACGTCCTCCTTGCCGCACTCCTCCGCTCCATGCGCGAGGCGCTGACATAGGGCCTCCTGAACCATATCAGCATGCATCGGGGCTCCGTAAGTAGCCAGTTTTGGCCGACGTGATCACCGCCATAAATCTTGGCATGTTGGCTTCGGCGTAGGTTCCATGCTGGGCGAGCCCCTCAACCTTTCACCATTCTAGCTCGCCTCTAGGAGATATTGTCTCGTCAAGGCGGCCATGTTTCAGTCGAGGTCGATGGTCGAGGACCTCTGCATGCTCTTTACCGGTTTGCTATTAGAAGGGAGGGGGCCCTACCAGGGGGTGCGCGACGAACCCAGTAGACTGCACTGATGCAGTCTCTGGGCCACCCGCGCCACCCACTGGGGGCCTCGCCTATTCCTCCTTCGGCAGGGGGTTGTTTATCTTTTTGCGGCCGTCGCGTTCTCTTATAGGACCTTTCTTGTTTTTGTGGGCAGGGCGTCCCCTGCTCCCACTGGGGGTTGGAGGTAGTCGCTCGCTGTGGCCACTAGCCCCTTCCTTACGGATAGGTGCCGTGGCCTTGGGTTTGGGCCTGCGACTCACCAGGGTCCACCCTGCCTCGAGTGCCGTGTTTGAGGAGTTTTGCAATGCAAAACCCGTTGTGTGAGCGGGAGCCGCAGAACCTGAGATTCGGGCCTCTGCCGCTAGTGTCGTGCTAGCACCAACATAGGTGCTTGGTTGGCCTTGGGGTTTCCCCTTTGGCTTACCACTCACCGTAGGGCGCAGTTGTGTGAGTGTGTTCGATGGGGTACTTTTGGGTTTCCCCTCCTTTTGGGTTGTTTGACGATTTGAAAAAACGATCATTACTGTCCATCCATATTTGGATGCTATTTTCATGTATAAAAAATATTGTTTTTGGCGCCTTTTTCTCGCTATTTGTCACTGTTGTTTCTCCTTCGTAGTAACTGTATATTCTTAATCAAATAAACTGCAAGTAAACTTCCTTTGATCTTGCTCACTCATCTAATGCACTCATCCGAATCCCATTGATACAGTCAGCCATAATTGTAGAAAAAAAAATTAACGTGTTTTACATCTCTTTGCTGACAGTCTCAATTCATAATAAAACTGCAAATGCATTTTATCAGTAGAAGGTAAAGTTACACGTTTAATATTTCTGTAAAACTCATTAATGTATTGTATTTCTGCTACTGTGTTATTTCAGCTCTATTTCAGCCCTCCTAAAATTTTGCTATCTACACAGAAAAAAAGGGTTTCTACTAATAAGAAAGAGCAATTTCTCAAAATATTTGCTAATTCTGAAAAAATATTTATTAAAAGTAATAAAATATTGTCACTACAAAAATACTGCTTATCTTTTTCTAATACAATTTTACTCTTAACTTTATTCTAACTTTGAGACAAATACGTTCACTTCAAGATTTTATTTCATTTCTAATCAATTAATTGGAAATTACTTATATCAAGAAATTTTTACCTCTTACATCAAATTTAAATAATCTTAAATGAATTCAAAATTTCTTGGGTGTATTTTAAGAAAATATATTCTTAAACAAAAAAAGAAGTAGTTTTCTATTCAGATTAATATTCTAAATTCTAGAGTAAGTATATTCTTAAAGCAACATTTCGTTGCGTTTTCATAGTCAATCGTGTCGTGACATGTCGCCGAAGGCGCACGCGGTAACGATTACTTTTACTTGTGCTTGTAATCATAAAAATCATAAACAGTCATTTATCCAAAGAAACAATACGTAGTATCTTTAGTTTGTTAGGGTGTTCTTTATAGTCATAATTTTAAGAAATTTGGTTACAGCATGAAATCAAACTATATACACTTGTAACAAGCATAACATGCAATTAGTTCCATCACGCCACTGCTAGATGGCATTAGATGTACTCTGAAACGCGCTATCGTTTTGTTAACTTCAATAGTATAAAGTCATCTCATATATTTGGAATTGTTAGTGCTTTCTGCCGCTGTAGCATTTATACGGCACTGGATGGTCCTCAAGTATTTGAGAAGATTCCATATTTCCATCCTATTTCTGCTACCTTAAGGTTTGGCACTGTTGGGTCCATAACCCTGTAAATTTATCCTTTTTGATATTAGAAAACATAAATCTTCAGTCAGATAATTAAGTACCTCTCAATTTTTCATTCTTCTTTTTTTCAAATCAAAATCGGACATTTCTAGTAACTGTACGGGACGGCCGCTTGTAATAAATTAAAATAGTTTTAAGTACATACTTATCATATAGGTGTAACTTACTAGTTTCATAATTAAATATATTTTTGGTTCGGACTTTTACTTCGCAACTAGTAATTAAGTACAATAGATAGTAAATAGAAATAAAAGGCAAGCTTATTTTAG